TGGAAACGAGGCTCAGAGACATCAAGGAGTTCCCCTGGCCAAATAACTTAGAAAGGGAATTAAGATTTGAACACAGCTTCCTGATCTCAGATTTTCTGCAGTGTCAGGCCTCTGGACCAGGCACTCCTCAGGACCTCAGGTCTGAACTGCGATCTCGGTGAAGCTTATAAGCCAAAGAAAGGTCAAAGCTCCGAACCAAGGATCACAGACCCTGGGAGAACAACTGGAGACTCAGAGTTCAGCCTGTAAGGATAGCAGCGCCGGCTTTCATGTTCCCTCCCGGTGGGAGTGAGGCCGGTGTGGGTGGGCGTGGCCGGAGCGGGAGTGATCCGGGGCGGGTTTCCCCGCGGAGCTGGTTCTGCGGCAGACTCACTCCCAGGCTCAGCGCTGGCTGTGAATGACCCACAGGACAGCCGGCTACGGTGGAAGGAGTAGGAAGCAGCAGGCCTCCGGGGAGCTTGCAATCTTGCCTGAGGCACAGAATCACCGGAGTTGGATCAGGACACTGCCCTAGAGAGGTGCAGTGAAGACACTGAAGGATAATCTTGGTACCACGGAAGACAGGCCAACCGCTGATAGTGTTGATCTCACGTGGTGACAAAAATAGCCTTTCGTGCTTTTGAAATTCTGATCTATCAAGGTCCCGTTAAACTTTCCCCTAGCAGAGCCGTTGGGGACCCCCGGGAGAAGAGCTCACCATGCAGACACAACCACACAGGCATGTGACTGCTAGAATTCTGACCTCGGCTGGTGGGATCGATGGGATGTGTGATTATCACCAGGATGTTTTCAGTATCTCTACTTCCAAGAGAAGAAGGAGTGGAAATATTTAGGTTTGATTTAATTTCTTCCCAGAGAGAATTTTACCTTTGAAAGGAAACAGACCTCTTCTGATTTCTGCACCTCCCGACTCAGCTGCAAGGAACAGCTCAGGCAGACTAGGGAAGGTCTGCGGAACTGAGCCTCTCTCCTGAGTCTCGCTGTCTCTGCCCTGCTTTACTACCAACCTGAGCTACAGGTTCTTGCAATAGCCAGCTGGAAGCCTGCTAACTGACACTACCACCAACCCATGAGAGGCGGAAGGGAGCAGAGAGAGGGTAATGCTGCATTTATTTACGAACCGGGAATAGTCACAGAGATTCAAAGTAACAATGGACATTACTTTCTGTGGAAGAAAACAAGAGTGGACAGAATGCAGAGAGTTGAGCTAGCAGGAAATCAGACCTACTTACCTACTAGGACTTCATTCATTTAAAAAGAATGCACCTTCTACTGTCCAATAGTAAAAAATGAAATTGACACCTGCTCGTAGAGGTCATGATTCAGGCTTGGCTCGAGGATGCAAAACAGCCCATGTCCTAAAAAGAGGCTTATGACTTTGTGTGCCAGAAAAACCATTTTGGATTCATTAGCAGTTAGCTGAAATAACAGATTTTGTGAAATTGCCAGGTCCTGTCAAACGTATGTCGGGTGTCAAATGTACAAGATCCTCATGTTTATACAGACATTTGTGAGAACGTCAGAACCTTTCATTGAGACCCAGACCTGTCAGTGAGCCCAGTCATGGATACACACGGAAATTTGCAAAATCCAATTCACAGCCTTCTTGTTTCTCTCTAACCCTAAACTCAGAGTACTGAGAATCCATTGGGTTTCAAAACGTTTAATGAAGTAAATTGATTTGCTGTTGTTGCTTTTTTCTTTTTACTAAGTGTTATTTAAAATTGGCAAGGGGGAGCTAACTTCGTCTTCAGCTCTGTATGTGAAAACTAATCCTCCCAGCAATAGGCTTCTAGCATTTAAAAACAAGGTCCTTAAACCATGCAATAATGACATTTCCAAAATATCTCTAATAACTACAGTTAAAATCAGAATAAAGTACATTCTGTGGACAAAGCAGTGATCTAAAAATCTCTAACAGTTTATAGGTATATAACTTTTAAGTATAATAATATAGTATCAACCTAATTGTCCTTTATTTTGGCTCATCTAATTTACAAACATGATTTCTGAAGTTTAACAGTATTTGTAATGGCAATGTCCAAAGCAATTTTGGCTGGGTAAAGTGCTATTTGTTGAACAAAAATGTAGTTGTTTGTGCAAGTTTAAACATTTCACAAGGCCAGCTGAGTTCATGTCAACCCTACTTACAAAATAATTATTGGCAAATGAAATGGACGTGGGGGGTGGGTAGAGACAAGACGTTTTCAAGCTTCTGAGAGATTTACAAAACCAAGTTCGTCAACCACTGGAAGTAAAATTGAAAGGTCACAGACAATTAAAAGGTACAGGTTTAAATCTCAGGATTCAAAAGGGTTCCAACAAGAGGAATATTTACAATGGAACAATGAGGAAAATGTTTTGTTACAGACAGAAACATGGAAAATATGCTGTTGAAAATTGTTGGCTCTGAAATAAATAAAATCCAGACTGAGACTATTAAAAATATCAAAGTGATCTACCATGTGCCAACTCTATATTCTTCTGTTGTTTATTATAAAGAAAATCCATCATTGAACATAATGCAGTTCTGGTTAAATTATCAAAGACATTTTCCGAATGCAAACTGTTGTTTACCATATGCTATATATTCTTCTCTAACAATTTTAGTACATTTCCATCACAGACCCACAGGCGCAGAGTTAGAAGGAAATTTTGAGTCATATTTTAACTTCCTAACCGAGGTACAAATTGCTTCCAAAATAGTCATTTGATTCATTTCTATTTAGCACCTAGTACAAGCAAGATTTTGTGGATGGCAAAATAAGAGATACAAAAAAATACTTCAAGATGTTCATGGCCTGCTAGGTAGAAGAAAGCATCCTTGTCCACTGGTTGCCATTATGCCTAGACTGGAACCCTCTAAAGAGTGACAGAGAGCTCACCACATCACAAGGAAATCCATCCCTCAGTGGGTAGCTTGACAATTAGGAAGGTGTGTGGGTTAAACTGAACTTCCTGGCAACTAACCTTAGTTTTGTCTTCTGGAATAAGATGGAACAGACCTGTTCCATCGTCTTAAGTGTAGCTTTTTGAAGCTGTTGAGGACTTCCCTTTGTCCTATATGGTTTCTTTCCCCTTCATGCAGCAATTTTATTTCACCTTTATTTTCACCACCCTTCACTTTACTGTCCTTGGGGATTCTAAGAATTTTTTCTAAGAATTTTCTAAGAATTTTCTATCAATTCAGTGAGCTTAGCTGTTAAATATTCAATATTGCACTTAAAACAGCATATTCAAATTATGACAGTCAAAAAACAAGAGCTAGGTAGCATTCAATGGGATTCAATTTGGGATTATCCTTTTGTAATTAGACTAGCACTGACTAACAACAGATGTTTAGGGGGAAAAAGGATGGAGCACCTAAGGCTTGCCAACACTGTATATTTGAAGGGAGAGGGCATGATAAATCTTTTATAATGAAACCCATGTGCTCTAAGATAATGACCGAACTTGATATTTTAAAATACTTAAATCTAGTGGTCTAAAAGTCACAGAATTAATTAGGTCATGTTTTAGAAATGAGGCTACACTCTAAATTTCTCATTGGTGAGAAATAACTCTGCTGTCTTTAATGAACAGAACAAGGGACTAACTCAAATATGTTAATTTTTTGCTAGCGGTTATACGTACGCTTGGCACCCTTCGAAGCTGTAACTACCACACCCAGGATAATTTAAATTCAGGAAACTTTATTTAGCCTCCAGAATGCCACCCCCACCCCCGCCGCCAAATCCCACATCCATGCAAGAACACAAAGCCAAGGGTACACTAAAAAAAGAGAGACTGTTTTATTGTGACGTTTATGACATGGACCCCTTGTTGACAGGAATGACTGAGGGTAATCTTGGCATATTGCACAGGTGTGATGAAGGATGCGCTGATGATCCTCTGGCCGCTGAGGCTGGTTCTTGGTCCTCCCAGACCTCCATGCACGTGTGGGCCAGTCACAGAAATGTCCTTACCACTTGGTGTATACATTTAACAAGTCTTTGGTCTTAATAAGCACCATTACAAACCCTCACGTTAAGGGCATTATTATTCTAGTTTATAAATGTTTCAATGATAAAAAATAGCACGATTACAGTATACACACACTTAATTTACATGTAATGTATTATAACTCATAACTGAGATAAGCTACTGAACTAACTTTGGTTGATTGAAATTAATGAAGTATTTGAACTGAATACTTGCAATTTGGTTTCTAAGTTGTGTAAATATTACAGTGCATTTATAAATCTAGTTTGAGAATTTACTAGCACCAAATAGATATTATAATTGGCCAACCTAGTACTTGTATTTGGAGAAGCAAAGTTTAAAAATTGGGGAAAAAACAGAACAGTCCATCGAGTGAAAGCACATTCCTGTAATTCTGCTAGAAGGATGGCGTGTCAGCATGAATGGCTGACCCCCAATGAAAATACGCGTCCCAGTTTTCAAGAATCAACACATGTGACAAGGTAGCTCAGCTACACAATGAGAAGCCTGAGAAAGTGGTTGTTTTGAACTAGGGGAGTCACCTGTACCTTGCTTTTTGTAATACAAGAATAGTGCTTATTTATAGAAATTTACTTGGTGAAAGATTGTACCTATGATATGAAGATTCTGACTGGGGGGAAAATTCCGTTCTACCTATCTATCTTTGTTTTTTAATTATTTGGTCTCTGGATGGTGAATTAATGAAGCAAAATCTGAATTTTCATCTTCAGATTATCACCCAGTTCACCACTGAGGTAGTCTTTGTCATATTTATCTTCTAGCTGATTAAGTTCTTTCTTTTTATAAAGTGGAGTACTACTGATTTGTAATGAATAGGTTCCAGCCACTGGCTTCTTCTTGGTGAAGTGGAGGTAGCTGATCCCTTCCTTTTGGTTGATTTTAAAGAAGCCATTTTCATTTCCAGATTCGATCAAGTATTTGTTGTGATTCGTCAGAGTCGTCAGGGCTGGGAGGAGCTCTAGGATTCGGACCTTGTTACTGATGTGGGAAATATTGAAAGCGAACACGGCTGTCTTCTCAGTGTCCCAACTTGCAAGACTCACATTGGTGTCTCTCTCAGGCTGGTCCTGGAAAGACACACGGCAATGTGTTAAGTCAAATGTAAATATGCCACTTAGTTCTCATCTTAAGGAAAAAGTGACTTGAATCTCACACTAAGACCACCTTCAGCTCATGTTGTAGATACACTGTGTTGAAAATGCCTATTTTCACAAAACACGGTTTAAATCGCAAATCTGTTCAAGTGAAACATGTTTATAATATTAAAAAAAAATATATTAAACTGATGTCAAGACGGAAGTCAAGTAGCTGGGCGTCTTCTAATGTGGCAGGTCTCCAAGTGTGCTCCCCGGACCAGCAGCATCGGCATCACCTGGGAAGCTGTCAGAAACACAAATTCTCGGCGCCACCTGAGACCTACTGAATCAGAAACCCTGGGGTGTCTCCCAGCAATCCATCTTAAGTCTTCCGGATGAATCAGATGCTTGCTCAAGTTCACAAACCACTGTTTTCATAGGCTATTTTCTTCCCCTGGACTTATCTCATTTCCCAAACCACAGCGGATGGGTTGCAGCACTGACGCTAGGAAAGAACCAGTCTACTTCAACTTTGTTCACTCACGAAAAACCATCCCCTCTGAAGGACATGCCTATGAACCTACTTCCTGACTCTGATGATCTGCTAATATTCGATGCTTTTCACCTGGCTGCTTGCTGGCCTCTCTGGGACCACATGTGCCGGATTCTCCGGGCCTGGAGCCAGGGGTCTGGGTGAATCTCTGTGCATTTCTGAGTTGACTGAAAGGCTGCAGCAGCCGTAGGCAAAGAAAACCAGGCTGCTTGAGCTCCATGTTGTTTTTGTCTAGAATCCAAGTTCCCTCACACTCCACACGGCTCTTTTCAGTAGAGGAGCCTCTAGCTTTCAGAACTTGGCGTCCCCGTGGAGAGAGCGCTATGTCACTTCACTATTCTGCCTCTGCCCACTTGCTGTCCTGGACCTCAGACCTTCCCTTTCAGCAGACTTTGGGTGGGTGTTTGACTTTCTCTTTGGCGAGACAGAGGAAATGAGCAAGTATGTGAAAACCTTCGAATGGCCACTCCCTAAAAGCAGCAAGAAACTCCGGAGAGTCCCACAGACTCTTGTAAAATGCAGCCTAGAGCTCAGGGAATGTCTGGATTTTCTCCCCAGGGAGCTTTTTCACACTTTGGAACATCCTTGGAGGAAACCACAAGCATTTGGAAGGCCCTTCTGCAACAGGAGACATCAGGAGAAACCACCTTCTGACCCACCTCGGTGTTGGAGGCATCGGTTTCGTTTGCACTTCTCCGTTTCCTGCCCCGTTTGGGGTAGCCGTTGATCTTACACTCATAGCAAGCCTCCGGGGAGAGAGAATTGTCATCCATTTCGCTGCTGGCAGGTGGCTCCGGGCCTCCTCGGCCCATGCCCATTCCAGAAACACAGTGCCTGTGGACGAGGAGGGGCACAGCCCCTTTTCATTAGAACTGGGAGATAAGGGAGGAGGTACAAGAGTTCCAGTGAAGCATGGACCCCACCTAGTGACATCTAGCCATTGATTATTCGTCCATCAGGTGACTAGCTGGTTCTGAGAGCCACACTGAAGCCCTCTGGGTTTAGGCTCTGAGGCCCAGTTCCCGGGGTTGGTTGATTTCTTTCTACTATCTCTCCGGGCCCTGTGTCGCATGCATATTGATTCGCCGCTTCCTTTCTGAACCCGACTGTGGCAGGTGTTCTGCTGTACTTACACTGGGGAGGGGACATGGAGTGGAAACGGGGGGAAGGTTGGGGGGGGAGACCATGTGACTTGGGAGGTTAAAGGAAAATGTCTTCCTTTTATGAACCAGAAAGTGAGAAAGGTATGAGCCGCCACCATTGAGCTCCTTGCCCTCTTCCTGCCTCACCGACACCATCCCCTGCCACCTCCCCTTCTGCCACCACAGTCACCAGCCTTCACCACTCCAGCTTCTGAGCGATTTCTCCTCTTATGTGACCACTCGCTTTGGCCAACGCTAGGTGTGAGTGTTGGGGAAGGCAAGATGTATTTCTATCTTACTCAGTAATTTGAAAGTTTAGTGGTTAAGTTTTCTTTTTTTTTCTTTTTTTTTTTTTAAGATTTTATTTATTTGCAAGAGAGAGAATGAGAGACAGAGAGCATGAGAGGGAGGAGGGTCAGAGGGAGAAGCAGACTCCCTGC